CTATCTATATCAGTCCTATTCATATCTATCTATCTATCTATCTATCTATCTATCTATCTATCTCAGTCCTATTCATATTCATCTATCTATATCAGTCCCATTCATATCTATCTATCATCTATCTATCTATCTATCTATCATATCATTCATCTATCTATCTCAGTCCTATTCATATCTATCTATCTATCTATCTATCCATCTATCTATCTATCTATCTATCTAGTCCCATTCATATCTCATCTATCTATCTATCTATCATCTATCTATCTATCTATCTATCTATCTATCTATCTATCTATCCCATCCTATTCATATCTATCTATCTATATCATCCTATTCATATCTATCATCTATCTATCTATCTATCTATCTATCTATCTATCTCAGTCCCATTCATATCTATCTATCTATCTATCTATCTATCTATCTATCTATCTATCTATCTATCTCTCAGTCCTATTCATATTCATCTATCTATCTATCTATCTATCTATCTATCTATCTATCTCAGTCCTATCTATCTATCTATCTATCTATCTCAGTCCTATTCATATCTATCTATCTATCTATCTATCTATCTATCTATCCCATCTATCTATCTATCTATCTATCTATCTATCTATCTATCTATCTATCTATCTCAGTCCTATTCATATCTATCTATCTATCTATCTATCTATCTATCTATCTATCTATCTATCTATCTATCTATCTATCTCAGTCCTATTCATATCTATCTATCTATCTATCTATCTATCTATCTATCTCAGTCCTATTCATATCTATCTATCTATCTATCTATCAATCTATCTATCTATCTATCTATCTATCTATCTATCTATCTATCTCAGTCCTATTCATATCTATCTATCTATCTCAGTCCTATTCATATCTATCTATCTATCTATCTATCTATCTAGTCCTATTCATCTATTCATCTATTCATCTATCTATCTATCCCAGCTCAGCCTGTTCATATCTACCTCTTAAGCTTTCTCTATCTATTTAATCCTGTTGAATTTATTTCCTCCTCCCCATTCACATTTTCTCATTTTCTTTAATCCAAACTCTTTGCATTCTTTAACCCCCTCCATCCAAGTTGCCTTCCTCTCCCCACGCAACCTCCCCTCTCTGCTGTTACCTTCTTTTCCCATTGAATGTTACCCTATTTTCTAAACATTCCATATAACCCTACCGTTTTTCCCTCCATCATTGTTTATTTCAATTAGTCTCTGTCTGTTTCATTTATTTATATGTTCTTTAATCCGCAAACCAATCCTGGCGTCCCGCCTCGTTTTCATTCGCTTCCTCCATCTTAGAATGCTTTTCTTGTCTTCCTGTCAATTGACCACAAAACAATACTTAACTAGTCTTCCAGCCACCACACAATGAATAACATTAGTTTATATTATTTGCAAATGGATAGTTCTTGCATTTTAAGTATGTTTTATGAATATAGGTGATATAAAGAAATACTTTGGTGAAATATTTTAAGGCATTTTAATGTTTCCTTTTTTGTCTCGGAAGTAAATGCACCAAATTTAAGCTAGTTTTTATCTTTTGAACGGATGCTGTTGAGGTCAGCACTTCCGTTTTCTTTGAAGAGTGGCTGTTCCGACAGCTTACGACAAATTAATTTCGCGCTCTGAATTAAATATAGATTTTTATTTAACTTAGATAAGTTAAAGTGTTTGTTTTATTAAAAATGTAAAGCATTTTAAATTAAAAACTTTCTTATTTTCTCTTTAACTTTTTCCTACTTACTACTTGAAATTATGACACTTCTTCCGTGACATTATGTCCTATGATATTTTCCACCCGACAAATTTAAACTATTCAGAATTTAGAGGAAGAAAACACGCAAATTTGTTTAGATCACTGGTTGCTAAACTTTTCCCTCTAGACTGCATTTACAGAATGAAAATTTGATCGAGTCTCATCAAATTTTATGTGATAAAAAGTACATTTAAAAATTAAAAAAATCAGAGAGCGGGTTAAAGGGAGATAACAATGGATTCAAAGTCAGAACATTATCATTGATAACTCTCTTCTCCAATTTTCAGACTCTAGTTATTATATTCTTAATACTTGATATAATACAAAAATATCACAATGATAAAATCAGTCAATAATTATTTATAACTATTTATACTGAGATACACGCCTGCAATTACAAGTAATCCATAATAATATTTTAAATTATATTTATTTTTGTCATATGATTTTTTTAAAACTGTTTCTAAATCTTTGATTTTCTTTCAATCATTCCGCCTCACTCGCTATCCTCTTCCGCCGAACCTATGAGACGCGCCGCACAGTTTGTGAAACCCTAGTTTAGATAAATCGCGATATTTGGTCCGAAATGACCATTAAATCAGGGTCGACATTCTGTTAAATAAAAGCGACAAGCACCAATCAGGCTTTTACACTTATTCCGGTGGTTCTGCATTAGATTTGGAGTAATGTAGCCTCCTCGCTTGGAATGTCAAAGCTGGTAATCTGCGAAATAAATGGTTCACCATAAGAGAGAAAAAAAAGGCAAATGGCCGACAAACGGACACTGTAAAATGTCCATTATTTATTCAATTAATAAAGCTTGCTTTGACAAGTACTGAGGATATAGATCCTCGCCTGTAGCGAGATCAAACAAAAGTGAAAAATTATTACACCAAGCTAAGTGCATTCGTATCTATTTATTTACACACACTTCTTATATATATATATATATATATATATATATATATATACAAATGTAAAAGAACGAAAAGAATATAAATTAAAATTTTCATAACATTAATTTAAAAAAGGGCTCAATACATGAGTAGAGCAATAAATATTTATTAGAAATTGTTACATTGGAACATGCAAGTTACCACGACAAAAATCTATATTTGTTTCGATGTCTAATTTAAACATCAGGTGGTTTATTCTTTGGAGAAACAGAAAAAGTCTGTGAGAACGAAAAAAAAAAAGCGAAGAGGAAAGAAACACAGATGAAGCAAGGAAGAACCGTGAAATTCCATCAAAAATCATGTTTAGATTTCAAATGTTCATAGCACCCTACTTGCGTAGCTAGGAGTAGCTCGCATCGTTGAGAGACTGATTCGCAGACATCAACTAACTTTTTCTTTTTTAACTGTGATCTCACTTGCAATATGCAACTGTACAGTCATATAAAATATCATGACTTCAAATATTTATTTTAAATATATTTCCATACATTAAGAATATGACTGACGCTAAATCTTAAAAAATAGTTTGGGTATTCGACACAAGTTTAATTAAGAAACGACCTGATACCATAGCGCCAAAAGTGTGAGGCAGCGATTGAAGGTCGTATTCACTATAGTATTAATGGTTACCGGGACTAGACCATAAATTATCACGTCTAAGATAACAATTGAACCTTGACTTGAAGAGATTAAGATCGTTAAAGGTTATGAAAGGCGGGAGTCTATTTCACAAAGTATCCACGCTTGGGAAAAAGTTAAGTGGAATACAAAAGAAATGTGGTCACTTCAACTCCATTGACATAGTTTGATGAATAAAGGTCTGAACTGGTGGAACTAAAATATTGGAGCTCGTCTCAACATTTGCTATGGAAAGAGTGAAAGAATTGTCTGTAGAGTGGAAAATAAGACATCTCTTACAAAACCGCGTAAATTATTTTGAATTCTACCAAAAATATGGTAGCAATATACCATTTTTAGACTAATCTGAATCTTGTAAAAATAGAAGCATGGCAGAAGGAGTCGGGCATTTTCTGGAGGGTTAGAACGAGCCAAATATTTTCCTCCCATCTTTATATATAACTGATATAACCACAGAAAACTATAATGCAGCAGTGAATTTAATCCTCACTGGGCACTCTACCTCTAAAATGAAAACAGTTTGGCAAAAGATCAAAATATCTGAAAGTAAAAAACAAAAACAAACAACGAGATTATATATATATATATATATATATATATATATATATATATATATGAAATTACATTGTTCATTAATGTTATATGTGTCTGTATTCTAATTTTTGCGGATTATGTCAAATCATTAGGTAAATTCATCCATTACCCTGTTCGACTACTTCTTGTCAAAATATAGGACAATATGAATAAAGACTAAAGGTAAACTTATCTTAGCCGACGCGTTTCCTCCTATGAGGGACTTTATCAAGACAGTTACAATCCTTGCAATTGCTTTGATAATGTCCCACAGAAACGGAACGCTAATATATATATATATATGTGTGTGTGTGTGTGTGTGTGCGTGTGTGTGTGAATGTATGCATGTGTAAATATAGCTAGAGAATTGGAGAGAGATAGGAAGGTACTGAAAAGTTCCTGATCCAACCAAGTACTCATTTAAAAAAGATTTGGTTATTTATGCTGAATTTTAGTAAGTAGGTCAAAGCAAGAACTTTTCAGCATCCTCTCATATATATGCTGGAAATATATATATATATATATATATATATATATATATATATATATATATATATATATATATATATATATTGATAGATAGATAGATAGATAGATAGATAGATAGATAGATATAATATTAACGATAATCAATAATCAAAATATTTTGATTTATTGAGCCATGTTTGTTAAAAAATGGAAAAATATAAATGAAAAGAAACCCAGTGAAAAAATATATATGTCTTTTAATCAATATTTAACTCGGGGGACATCCATCATTTTTCTTTTTACTTTAATGACGTGACCACTTCATCGGGCCAATTATCACGTGACTATAGGCTAATTAGTTTATTGGTTAATATAGTTTTTTTTTCCATCTATTTGCCGATAATGATGCGATTTGATGGCGAATAGTTGATGTGTAGCTCATTATTTTTATCAGTAATTTTATGGAGTGAAAAAACGATAGGTCAATGAAAAAGAATAATTTTAAAAAACACGAAACGAAAGAAAATGAAAAACCTGAAAACGAATAAACTAGTCGGAAAGAAAGTAAATACATAAAAAGAATAGTATTTAGAGAAACAGAAAAGCCAAGTCGCATCGATTTGCAAGAAATTGAAATAAAATGAGAGAAATGGAAAGAGTGAACAAGATAGATACAAGATAGATAGATAGAGAGAGAGAGAGAGGGGGATAGGGAGAGAGAGAGAGGAGGGGATCGATGAAGAAAGGATGGGAAACAAATTCGAAATAGAAGTAATAATCTGAAGAAAAGTGAAAGAAGTATAGAGAAAGCGATGGGAAGAAAATAAAAAAAAATAAAAGAGAGATGGACAGAGTGGAGACGAACAAATAGAATAAAAAAGAAAGCAATGAGATATTAAATATAAAAGAGAAACTACTTGAAAGAAAGACATTAGGAGAAAGTCTACGAGAAAGAGAAAAGAAACGAAAGTGAGAAAAGAGACAGGGAGGGTGAAAATCAAAAGGAGAGAAAGAAAAGAATAAATTAAACGGTAAGTAGAAGAAAAAATGTGAATGAAAGTTTGAAAAAGCTAAAGAAAAGGACAGAGAGGATGAAACAGATAAACGAACGTAAAGGTGAAGAATAAAGAATAAAGAATAAAAGAGATTATACATTAATCTATTTTGACCAGCATTTCTCCTCTGGCTTACAATAATTTAAACGTTTGGAGTAGAATGAAACAAAAAAAGGAATAATCAGAGACAGCAAACAAAAAAAAAAATGTCAGCTTTATTTTTTTTAATATTTCTAGCTGATGACAGAGTTTGATGTTCAAGCGCATATCCTCCTCGTTAGAGCAATTAAGCTGCTCTGTGCAGTATAGAGCCACAGCCTCATCATGCTAGGGACACAGCCACATCATCGTAGGCGTTGCTAATGAGGTCTCTATAGCAAGTAGGTTTTTACAGGGTAGTGTTGCCACTTAACTAGTTTTGAACTCAATATTATCCTTTGCCTAGACTCATTGCCATCCAAAGCTAGAGAACCCAATTTGTGCTGCTATTTAACCTATAGCTGGGGGAGATTGATTCATACCTTTTCTAAAGGTATTTGTGTGATGAATATAAAAAAAAACTCAGCTATAATTTGAACCCGGCATGCCAATTCCACTTTTCATGTCAATAACCACTACATAGCATAAAAGCTTGGATTTCAAGTATTGACTTTCTAAACTGGCAAGCAGGCTTTCTTCACTTGGCAGACTGGTGCAACAGTCTTCCATATCCCATCTCCTTGTACTGGACAAAGATAGACTCAGTAAATATCAATGCTAGGGCCTCTTGGAGAAATAGTTATCCCTTTCCCATTGATGTTAGGAAATATGAATGTTGATTTTCTTGGCTGGTAAGCAAAAAGTCTCTATCCTAGTTCTCAAATCCAAAGCTTAATATATATATATATATATATATATATATATATATATATATATATATATATATATATATATATATATATATATTTCAGTCGTTGTACTTTCTGTACTTCTTCAAGTGTCGTCGTATTTGGTAAAATGGGAATCAAAACCATTATTCAATAGGGCGGGTTAATTTTTGACTTTTTTTCTTAGAAAATCATCATGTCCTTCAGTGTGAAAGTTGGCGGTTCATGTGATAAAAAATGACACCAAAAATTAGATTCATAGCTTTTACCTAAATTTGAGCATTTAGATTTAAAGTTCTCCCGGGAAAAGGTGCATAAATACTTAATTACCGCAGGTTTTGACTTACACACTGACTTCAAAATTTTAGTATTTCAAGAATAAATCCGAATAAATTTCATATTTTTTGTTTTAGATATATTGAATGAAAAATATATTCAAACTAGAATTTTATTTATGAATCATCAAAAGCAAAATATGCAATTTGTTTACCTCATTCGGTAAGAAAAAAATGTTTGAAATTTTTTTTTAAATTAAAAAAGCTACTCAATGTATAAGATTTGTTAGATCATTTGTTAGATCAAAATTAATGAAAACAAAAAAATAGATAAAAATGTGTATAACATTATAATATCCCCGCGCACAAATTAGAAGACATATTGCTTTAAATTTGCATTGTTTATTGAAAATCACTCTAAAACTACTCCACTTCATATTATAGCTAAATTATTCAGTGTAATTTTCCTTTGAAGTAAATGGTCTTATTTGACGGCACAACGATTTAGCAATAATGCGTTCGTGCTATGCATAATGTCCATATACAATTTGTAAAGCTCCAGTAAATTATAAATTGTGCTATAAAGCTTTTACTGATCATCGGAATGAGCTGCCAACACTACGAGTTTGAACCTAAACTTAATGTTTAAACTCATTTCCTTAAAACCGGTAAAGATTTAGAACAACATATTTTGTGACATACTCCAACTCTAGAATTGAGTACAATATCATGGTTCCAAAATCAACCAGACTTTTTATTCAATCCACTTAGTTGGTCCTTCTCAATACACTGTCCAGACCAAAAATCTTGTATCAGTTGATTTTTCTTAGCTATCCCTTCGTACCTGGCAGTTCAGAGTTCAATATTTGTTTTATACAATAAAAGAGATATATTCTAGATCACTGGGGAAAGCAAAAACAACGTCGAATAAGTCAGAAGGTTAAAACGACCCGTCTTGACCATAAACATCAAGATTAGGATGAGAAAACGAATACAATAATAACGAGAAATTATCTCAGTAAGAATCGGATAAAAGAATGAACAACAAAGCTTAAAGAGAGAAAGACAGAAGGAAAAGAGAGAAAGAAAGCGAGAAAAAGATAAGAGAGAGAAAGAAAGCGAGAAAAAGGTAAGAGAGAGAAAGACAGTATGAAGGTGAAAAGTCAGAAAGGGAGACAGAATGAAAGCAAAAGAAAAAAGTGAAAAATCAGAGAAAAAATAGAAACAAGGTAAAAGAGAGATAGACAGGAAGAAAGCAAAGAAAAATATAAAAGAAATCAAATAAAGGAAAAAATTATGGAGGCGAAAAGTAGACAGAAAATAAACAGTATGAAGGGAGGTAGTAGCCAAAATGAAGGAGAAAAAGTAGGAAAGAAAGGAAAGAGAGACAGATAGAAAGTATGCAGAAGAAAGAAAGAATGAAGGTAAAATTAAGACAGAGAGACGGAAAGAATATAAACGTAAAAAAACATAAAAGCCAAAATAAAATGACAGGATGTATTTAATAATAAGTCAAGACAGAAGAGAGCTAAAAAGAAAGAGAAAGCAAAAGTAAAAAAAGATATAGCCGCAAAGAAAGAAAGAAAGAAAGAAAGAAAGAAAAATTAAAAGATAGATAGGAGAGAGAAGACAAACGAAAGAAAGGGGGAATGAAGGCGGAAAAAGACAAATATGAAGACGGTGGGGGGTAACAAAAAAAAGAAAAAGAAGGAAAGAAAGTTAAAACAAAATAGAGAAAACGCAAAGAAATCAAAAGAAAGAGAGAAAGACGTAAAGAAATCGAAAGAAAGAGAGAATGGCGTAAGGAAATCGAAAGAAAGAGAGAATGGCGTAAGGAAATCAAAAGAAAGAGAGAAAGACTGACAGAAAGCAAAAGAGAGGTGTAATGAAATCCAAAGAAAGACAGAAAGAAAACAAAGGAAAGAGAGAAAGGCGTAATTAAATCAAAAGAAAGACAGAAAGACGGAAAGAATGCAAAAGAAATAGAGAAAGACGGAAATAAATCAAAAGAAAGAGAGAAAGAGGAATAGAAAGCAAAAGAAAGTATTATAATCATAAAAAGAAAGAAAATCTTCCAAGAAGATCGATCAATCAAAAAGTTCATACAATGTGATGCTATATTTAAAAAGTTTCTTCGAGAGCCTTTTAAAATCGATCAAGTGCAAAGGCTTTTATTTTATATATCTCTATTGATTTAAGTTTGTATCATTTATTTTCTTTTGTCTGTGTAGGCATCTGTTCAGTTTAGTCTAGCATAAAGACAAAACGATTGCAGCAAGATTGTCGCTTTATCACGTCCTTTCAAATTCTTTAAAGCCGTCCTGAGAACACGATAAACTACATCTAGCAGCAAGGCCTCTGATCGGGAGTTTTTGAGGTGTGTTGAACCACCTCTTAACTGCTGCTGTTCCTAGATCCACCCTAACCAGGAGTGGTAGCACCTGTTGGGGCCCCAGCTGTGGGCAAGTGGTTAAACCCCAAACTGGGAGTCAAAACACTATGAAAGTGTAAGAATACATTTTTATAGTATAAATACCAGCAGTACATTTTTGTAAATAAAATTACTAATGCCCTCAGGAAAATTACGTTTTGGCATTATATGACCCCTAGGGAGTTGATATTTTTTAAGCATTTCACTCCAAGCAAGGCGGGAGTGCCACTAGCACGCAAAGGATTACAGAGAGTGGGAGCAAAAGTAAAGAGACGTGATTGAGGAAAGGATAAAGAGAAGGACGGGGATTAGATCAAGGCATCAGAAGATGTCGATTGACATTACATTTGAATATTTGAAGATCATAGCTATCAGGGAAGTAAGTCAGGAGAAGGAAGTTCCACTGACGAGTGGGGGGGGGGTGAGACATGAAGCTATTGGAGTAGAAGAGATGGCTACATTTAACCGTTTTAACAATGAAAGGGTGGGAGTGAGATGCCAACCTAGTAGCACGCATAAATTCATGCAGTTTGGGAACCAGCAAAAATAGCTCGTCGAAAAGTACCGTGAAAGTACGTGTAGACAAGACAGAAGGAAGCGACGGCACGTCTGTGAGAAAGTGGCTATAGACAAGATGCCACACCAGGACCAACCACATTGCATATCTGTCTCTGGATTTTGTCGAGGACCTTGAGACGAACAGCGGGGGTTCCACCCCATATACGGCAGCAGTATTCCATGCAAGGGCGAATGGTTGATTTATAGATTTGAAGGATGGACTCAGGCGAGAAAAACTTTCTGGCGCGACACAAAGAACCAACTTTCCTTGCGATAGATGAAGCTATTCAGTCAATGTATTTGTTGCATCTTAGGTCAGCGGACAGCGTGAGACCAAGCAGGCGCAGAGAGGCGCACTTGTGGAGTTGAGCATCAGACATTCTAATGGCAGGCAGGGCGGATTCTCTGTGGTGGGTAAATGAGAGCAGGTTAGTTTTGTCAGCTTTACCAGATTTACCATTAAGGCAAGAGTAAATAGTAGTGTCGTCTGCAATGATGCCTACTTGGGAATTGATGACATCGGGAAGATCGTTAATGAAGATCAGAAACAGTGTAGAACCCAGGATAGAGCCTTGGGGAAAACCAGCGTTCGTGAGAAAGGGACTGGAGGAGAACCCGTTTAGTTAGACAGGAATGATTGTATTAAGTCAAATAATCGACCTGAAATTCTGTATCCTTGAAGCTTACGAAGAATCCCGGCATGCCAAGCCACAAAAGTCCGTTATTGTGAAGTTCTTGGTAAACAAATTCAATTATGGCCGTGAGCACATCAGCTGTAGATCGGGCAAAGCGGAAACCATATTGTTTGTCAGAGAGCCGGTCATGGGATGTAAGGTGCTTAATCACTTCGGCGTTGAGTAAAGCCTCGAAGACTTTACCGAAGAA